AAATTGTAAAGTGTATATTTGGTCTTCAACCTGTTTCCTGGCATACATCTTCTAAAATCCTCAGAATCTCGATAGTGATGTCATATTGTATGCTAATGATTAACTGATGGCTGGCAAACCCTAGGCTACTTCAGGAAGGGGTGATCACCAGAAAGACCAAGGTACGATTAGAGGGTTGGGACTTTTCAGCCTAACTTCCTGACTGCTGGAGATGGAGGAGGGGCTGAAGGTTGAGATGGAAAACAGAGGGAGGAAAAGTTTGGAAGGGAAAATCCAAGAGTCTGTTTTTGGACTTGGTTAATTTTCTTCCTTAAAATAGAAGTTAATTAGGGCTAGATGTGGTCATGAGGTGGAGCCCTCATAATAGGATTAATGCCCTTATCAAAAGTAAGAGATATAAGATCATTCTCTCTGCCATGTTAGGATATAGCTGTGGTAAGCTTTTCTCCTTGAGATGGAAAACAAAAGGGGAGGAAAAGTTTGGAAGGGAAAAATCCAAGAGTCTGGTTTTGGACTTGCTACATTTGAGACACTTTTAGACGTTCAAATGGTGATATTGAGTAAATAGTTGGATATATGAACTTGGGCTTAGGGAGAAAAGTCCAGGCAAGAGATGAAAACTGGGATTGTCCATCGTTGATGGCCAATGGTTTAATCAATCATATCTATATAATGAAACTTCTATATAAAAGAACCAAGAGGACAGAGTTCAGGGGCTGCTGGAGAGCTGAACACATGGAGGGTAACAAAAAAGTAAGCAAGAACTCATCCATGTGCTGGGAGGGTGGTACACTGCAGTTCCACAGGGATAGAAGCTCCTGCTCTCTTGACCCTTCCATCTTGTTGTATGTATCTCTTCATCTGGCTGCTTGTATCCCTCCTGACCTGGAGGTGACACTATGAGGATGGAGTGCTATCCTTCAAGATGCAATACTCTCCTTAAACCAACAGCTATTGTACGAGGTGTAACAATTAAGTTCACGAACTCATCCTAGAAAAAGAGCTACATACTTCACTGCTGAAGAGCACTACAGTCACTTTTGAAGTACTCCCCTTGGGAAGCTATGCACTGATGCCAGCACCTAGCCTACCTGTAAAAGCAATTTTGGAACTCTTTTTCTGGAATGACCATCAGAGCTGTCATCATATTGATATCCTGAATGTCATTAAAATGTCTTCCTGTCAATATTTCCTTTATCTTCTGGTAAAGAAAAAAGTCATTGGGAGCCAGATCAGGTGAGTAGGGAGGGTGTTTATTTGTTTACTGACTAAAAACTCCCTCACAGACAGTGCTGTGAGAGCTGGTTTATTGTCGTGATGCAAGAGCTTCTTCAGGACCATTTTGCACACAACTTTTTCTCGTGTCAAATTTTTCAGTTAAGATTTTCCTGTTTCTCTGTTGATGTTTATTTTGTCTGCTATACTTCTCACAATCAGTTGGCAATTTTGATGCACAATTCTAATTTTTGCAATGTTTTTGTCAGTTCTGCTCATTGCTGGCCATCCTGATCTCTCTCCATCAGTGACACTTTCTGTCCCCTCGGAAAAAACTTTAAATCCATTTGTACACTATTGTTTTCTTCATGGCATTATCTCCACAAACTTGGACTAACATGTCCCTGATTTCACCTCCACTCTTACCAAGTTTAACAAGAAATTTAATGCTGGTTCGTTTTCCTAATTCAAGCTCTGACATTCTCGTGATGGCACGCAAAAACATGCAACAACAATAATGAATGCCACTTGGCAAGATACCGCCACTTGTTGACACAAACACAGCTGTGAGACACTGATATACCAAGGTTATGAAACCTTACCAAGTTGATTGTACAGTGCTGCCAACGTAAGTGCACAGGGGCAAGTTTGTGAACTTAACTATCAGACCTTGAATATGCAGTGTTCCTGAAAGATGGAATTCATTGATATGGGAGCTAAATGGTAGAAATGGAAATTACCTTTCTTACCATCCTACCTAAGGAATTTGTGTTTCTATTCCTCACCAACTTTCGATTCTGTGGGACCAGAAGCCCTGGCTCCAAAGGAGGCACGCCATGGAAGAGTGCCCCATTGGGGGACACAGGAAGGTCAGAGATGCCATGATACCCACTCAGATACCTTCACCAGCCAGTGCACCCAATGCTGCTGTATAGGCCGGCCCCTCTCCAGGGGATTGCTCTGAGATGAGAGTAATCTTTCCCCAGAGCAGATTATGGCCAATGACTGAATGAAATAGAGCATAAAGGTCAGCTCCCTTGCCACTAGGGGAGGAAAGTCTATGCTGCAGTTTGTGCTCCATGGCCATATTTTGTGGATCAGACCAGGTTAGACTTGACCTGAGACCACATCCTTGCTTGGCTCCTTCCTCTTCCTGCTCCTGCTTCTCTCCCTCTTCTATAGTTTTTTTCCTGAAAGGCACTTCTTCAACATATCATGTGCCTCCAAACCACTGTCTGAGGCTCTGCTTCCAGAAGCCAATCTAAGATCCTTTCCCTGGTTATATGGATTGCTTCAGGGAGGGCCAATGAGCTCAGTATGTCCAATTAGGGTTGACCCCCAAAACCTGCTGAGAGCCAGGCTATGTGCCTGGAGGTGCTGGCAACCACTTTGCCCCCATGATGGGGATCCGCTTGTGGGTAGAGCCAACACAGAGGAAAGTGTAGTGAAGGATAGAGTGAGATCAAGTTCTGAGGACACTGCTTAAACCCTTAGATTCAGGCAAGCACGTGTCTTCAGCACACACCTTTTTGTTTTGCTGAAATCATTTTGATTGTGTTTGGGAATCCCATCATGCCTGAGTACCCCATCTCTCTGGGGACCTTCCTAACTGCACAGCTACAGGTGGTTGATGTGTAATGCTCATCAAGATGAAGGGAGGACATGCAGAGTCCTGACATGCTTTCTTAATTATCCCAAAATTGCTGGGCTCGGTGGCTCAGCCTGTAACCCCAGCACTTTGGGAGGCCGAGGCTTATGGATTGCCTGAGTCCATGGGTTCGAGACCAGCCCGGGGAACTTGGTGATAACTCGTCTCTACAATAAATCAACAAATTAGCTGGGTGTGGTGGCTCATACCTTTAGTTCCAGCTACTTGAAGGCTAAGGTGGAAGGATTGGCGATGCTGGGGTGGCTGTGAGCAAGCCACTACACTTCAGCCTGGGCTATGGAGTGAGACTCCAACTCAAAAAAATAAAAAAATTATTCAAAAAAGAGATGATTTTAGTTTTGGTTGATTTTAGTAGGTCTTGCATTTATTTTTATTTATTTATTTGAGTCAGGGTCCCATTCTGTCACCCAGGCTGGAGTATAGTGGCATGGTCATGGCTCACTACAGCTTCAACCTCTGAGTTCAGATGATCTATCCTTCCACCTCAGCCTCCCGAGTAGCTGTGACTACAAGTGTGCAACACCACACTTGGTTATTTAAAAAAAAAATTTTTGTAGAGACAAGAGCTTGCTATGTTGCCTAGGCTGGTCTTGAACTCCTGACTCAAGCAATCCTCACACCTTGGCCTCCCAGAGGGCTGGGATTATAGGTGTGAGCCACCACACCAGGCCTTGTATTCCCATTTTTTAAAATGAATAACCCACATAATGTTTTCAGAATGAATTCTGTTAATGAAATGTATTAATGTAACAAAATGCATTATAAAATAAACTATTCCAGATAACAGAGTTTAACACATAGGGAAAAGGGAAATGAGATTATTTCTGCTTCTGAATACATCTAGATATCAGCCAGCACTATCATATTCAGAGCATAAATTATAAAAATCCTATGATCCATCTTTGATGGACAATCATGAGAGGGTAGCCACCCACAGAGAGCCGATAAGGGAAAAAACTGAGTTTTACTTACCTTGTTGGGAAGACACTTTCCATGATCCAGATGAAAGAGCAGATAATTGGGTTCACCCTAAATGTAAGAAATCCAGTTGGTTTACCAGCCACAGAGATCCGTCTCCATGTATACTAGAGTTCAAGGCTGTGGCATCTCCAGCAGCTGTTACCTGACTCTGCTACTGACGTCACAGACGGTATTGTTAACAAGCAGACATCATAATTTATGCATGGAGCTATGGGAGCTCTGCTCTTTCTCTGCTGTATTGAAGGTCCTGCTTATTCACAGGAATAAAACCTGAATTAGTGTCTGAGAAATAAGCTAAAAGTTTTCATCAATTTAGGCATAAAAATAAGGTTTCACTATAAGCTTCAAAAAGTTTTGTTGTGGGGAAACAAAAAGAAAATCAAATGAGAATTTGGTTGGCGGGTGAATATTCAGGCTGCTCTTTCTTAGAAAAAAATAACAAGAATGGGGTCTTAAGCTGGAGAAAAATAGATTTAAATATGCGTTAGGTATGTATTGTACCCCAATGTTTTCCATACATCATCTCACTTATTCCCCAGAATAATTTCATTAGGTAGAAATTTTTAATTCTTTTTTTAAATTGATAGACAAAAATTGTATTATTTATGGTGTGCAACATGATGTTTTGATGTATGTATTCTTTGTGGAATGACTAAGTCAAGTTGCTTAGCACATGTATTATTAGGTAAGTATTATTAATTTCCCATTACAGATGAGGAAACCAAAACTCACAGAGGTTCAACATCGTGCCCACAATTTCAAAGAAAATAAGCAGGTAGAGACCGGATTCAAATCTACACTGAGTGATATCAAAATCTGGTCTTTTGCTTGTTTGTTTGAGTCAGAGTCTCACTCTGTCACCCAGGCTGGAATGCAGTTGTTTGATTTTTTGTAGAGACAAGGACTCATTCTGTTGCCTAGGATGGTCTCAAACTCCTGGACCCAAGCAATCTACACATCTCGGCCTCACTTTGTGCAGGGATTACATGTGTGAACCACCATGCCAGGCTGCAAAAGTCTGATCTTTCTGTGTGTATGTATGAGGTGAGGAAGTTTGGGGCATATGAATGGTGCCAAACCTTTGAGGATTATTTCCTGTTCAAATTACCATCCATTCCTTGACTGCAGTAAGTTCTTTTTTTTTTTTTCAACGAAAGGGAAACTTTATTGAGGCCCCAGAGCCACGGGCCAGGGCAGGAGGCTGCCTTGCAGGAGGAGCTGGCGAGGGCCTTATTTGACTTTCTTCTTGGGGCACAGGTTGTTGGTGTGCCCATACTTCTTCTTGTGGCAGTTGACTTAATGGGGGTGCAGGCGTGTGTAGCACTTGTGGCAGATCATCTTATCACACTTGTACTTCTGGGCGAACTGGCGGAGGGAAGGTTCAATGATGCCACCTCTCAGGCACAGCACCAGGTGCAGGGTGGACTCTTTGTGGATGTTGTATTCTGAAAGAGTGCGACCATCCTCCAGCTGTTTGCCTGCAAATATCAGACGCTGCTGGTCAGGTGGGATGCCCTCCTTGTCTTGGATTTTAGCTTTGACATTCTCGATGGTGTCACTGGGCTCAACTTCAAGGGTGATTGTCTTGCCTGTGAGGGTCTTCACGAAGATCTGCCTCTCTGCGTCAGCCCAGCCGCCTTGTTGAACAGGTCCAGTAAGTTCTTAAAGACTACAGATTTTGAGTTCTATCTGATCAGGAAAACAAAAATACTCTAGATAGTTATAATGGGAAGTTTGATTCAAGAAATTAATTACAAAAGTGTTGGGAGGGATAATGATTCAGATGGAACTTCTGGTATGGTTGAATTGAGAGAACTGTAATAGAGTATACCATAAACTTAGGTTAAGAACATGCTATAACCCAATAAATATGTAATCAGCTTGTGGACAATAACACAGCCATTTTATTTTCTGCTTTAAAACATAACCTGTAGCTGTTTAAAGTTTCAGTTATGGGAAAAACTGCAAAGCTCCAGTTCAAGCTTCAACCCCTTCCCTTGACCTACTTTCCCCTTAGCAACAACCAATCAGGTGCCAGGGGAAAATCACCTAAAGTTTCCAAATGTCTCTGCAACTTCCCCAGCTAGTGGGCCAAGGTCAACCCGAGTCAAGCTAGCCAATCCTCCACGATTAAGCTGACCACCAGAGGTTACTACCCAATTAAATGGTAACAAGACTGGAAAGTCCCCCCATACTCCTCTTCCCTTTGTGTAAAAGCATAAAAAGTATCTGCTTAAGGAAGTCAGGGCCTCTGGGTGTACTCCGCTGCGTAGGTTGTCGACAGAGGTCCAGGCACGAGCTTGTAAATAAAGACCCTCTTGAACTTTCATCGGAATTGGCTCTTGGTGGTCTCTCGGATTGAACTTTCGGCCACTACAGAATAAGGAGATCAAATCATCCTTGCTAAAAGAAACTAAAAAGATGGACAAAATTGCCCAAAAACGTGCTATCAGCTCTTTGGAAATTGACCAATGGCATATAACAATCTGAGAAGTGTTTATACTTGAGTATCTACTGGTCTTTGTGGAGATCTATGGCATTGTAGTCTGGGGCTTATTTCATCCTCATCTACCCACCCCACCAGCTTGATCAGCATGGGTGTTCTGCCACGGAGGGCAATCCACAAGGACCTGCAACTTTTCTACTGTCACTGTAGGGGAATCACTCTAGTAAGAGCAATGGATGAAACTCACAGCCCAGAGACAAGAGAGTTGGGAAGAGCCAAAAACATTTCTATTAACTTGAGGCTGAAGTTGTGGTTGAGGCAAGCATATTCCTGACTGACGCTGTGCACATTTGCCACATACGTAGCAAAGTCTTAGGATCCCTAAGTTGTTCACACACTTCTGGCAAACACTAAACTTTGTGTATGAACATAGAAGACTCAAAAGATTTCATCAGAAAGCAAACCCCAGGGGAGATCCTAGAACAGCTCGACTTTTAAATGTGCTTCCCTACCTATATTCAGATGCACCAGCAGAGAATGCAAGACTGATTGGTTTGAGGGTTTTGAGCACAATCTCTGTCTAATCACTGGCTGACCACTAAGCTATGCAGACACCATGCATCAGAGGAAAACAGAGTAAAACCAAGAATATATTGTTGAGCGAAGACATCAATGGCTGCACAATACAGGGGAGATAGATTTCACAGATGTAACCAGGTAAACTACTAAGAAAAACCAAAAAATAATAACCAGCAACAGAAACAACTTTTAGAAGGAAAAAAAAATCAAAATCCAGAGTTGCTACAATGACCATTTTTAACAAAAAATTATAAGACATGCAGAGAAACAGAAAAGTATGACCTATACTCAGGGAAAAAAAGCAGTCAATAGAATCTTCCTCTGAATGACTACAAAGTTATCAAACAAAAATTTTAAAAGAGTTATAGTAAATATGTTCAAACAAAGAATATCATGTTTAAAGACAAAAAATTATGACAACAGTGAATCAACAAACAGTGATTCTCAATGAGGACATAGACATTATTTAAATATAAAACATTTGGTGTTGAAGAGTACAATAACGGAAGAATTCACTAGAAGTGTTTGTGTTAGTCTGTTTTGCATTATTATAAAGAAATATTTGCCAGACTCGGTGGCTCACCCTATAATCCTGCGCTTTGGGAGGCTGAGGTGAGTGGATTGCCTGAGCCCGCGGGTTTGAGACCCGCCTGGGCAACTTGGCGAGAC